AGCTAACTCAACATCAACATTCCTCTCTCCCCCTCCTTCTCCCCTCTGCTTCCTGATTGTGGACACAAGTGACCAGTCACTCCCACCCCTGCCACGAGGAAGATGATGAGCCAAAGTTAAACTATTCCTTCAGTTGCTTTATTTTACTTTATTTTTTTATTAATTACACTTTATTCACTTTGTATCCCCCCATAAGCCCCTCTCTCCTCCCCTCCAGATCCCACCCTCCCTCCCCCTTCTTCACGCATGCCCCTCCCCAAGTCCACTGATAGGGGAGGTCCTCCTCTCCTTCCTTCTGATCTTAGTCTATCAGATCTCATCAGGAGTGGCTTTCAGTTGCTTTTGACAGGTACTCTGTTACAGAAACAAGACGGAATAATGAGTCCACTGCCTTACAAGGTTACTGTGAGGATAATTCATGAGTTTACACATGAATTTACACCCGGAACTGTGCCTCCCACTTAAGGCATGCTTGGTATTTGCTCATATTAGATTGGTGACAGAAATCTCCAATCTGTCTCTTGAGCAGATGAGCTGATTTTAAAAACTTGCTGCGCAACACAAGCTACACAGCAGGTCCGCATGCTCTGCTGCCAAGACGCTCTGCTGGAGTCCCTAGGTGTGGCACTGCTGTCTGAATTAACTGTGCAAGTTTAAAACCTGGGAGGTGAAAATCCGGGTCTCCTGCTATTTTTGAAAATTAGAAAGGTCGGGCTGTGCAAGACTCACCTTCTACATGCTCAGTGCATGCTGGAGCTGAGTGGGGTCAAATGGTAAGCAGCTTGGAAACTCATCAGACTCCAGGACACTATAGGCAACTGTATTTGCTATTATTATTTAAATCAAAGACCAGCAAATTATAGCCCAAGGGTCAAATCCAGGATGGGCATGTGTGTGTGTGTAGCTTTGTGGGACTCTAGTGGCATGGACTTGTTCACAGGACAATACAGATGTATCCGGCTCCAGACAGAAAAAGGTCACGGGTGTGCAAGACACGATCCTTCAGCAAAGGATTTGCTCAAAGACAACATATTGAATCATTCATTCATTTTGCTTTTTGTTTTAAATTTGTATTACATTTTACTTATTTGCTCTGTGTGTGTGTGGGGGGGGTGGGATATAGGTACACTATGGAGCTCAAAGGACAACCTGAAAGAGTTGGCTCATTCCTTCCACCACATGGGTCCTAGGAATCAAACTCAGGTCATCAGGCTCCACAGAAGCATCTTTTCCTACAGAGCCATCTTACTGCGAGCCCTTATTTTTATTTTGAGACAGAGACTCACACAGTAGCCCAGGCTGGCCTCAATTTTGTGTTGTACATCACAAACATTAGGGGCAGATGTGAAAGCCATTGTAACAGCCTTGGAAGAACAGGAGTTCACGACACAGCCCAAGATGCCTTCAATTAGCAATCCTCCTGCCTCAGCCTCCTGAGTGCTAAGATTACAAGCATGAGCCACCATGCCTGGATTTAGCTCTTATTATTAAAATCATTTTTGTATCTGCATCTTATACAGGCATGTGTCATTATTAATTCTGCTACAGATTCATACAGTGCACAGCCCCCTCTTCATATGTTCATATAAGCATCCAGATGACCCTGATGTTGTGCTAGAAGCATCCATGTGATAGTTCTTGTGGGATGTAGTAAGAAGACTTGTGCCCCACAGATAGAAGACCCCAAATGTTACCTGGGACTAAATGAGGCCATTAGATTTCAGGGATGGTTATCCATCAGCTCCTTTTTCCATTAGTTCTAAGGGAACTAATTTAATTTAATATAGGTCCATTCCTATTATCTCTTCCTCCAAATAAGAATTTAATGAGAGTCTTTACATTTTTCCCTTGGCAGACATTTAAGGAAGGAATTAATATTGATATTTTGCTAGATACTTTCCATCCTTGATGACATATTTCATATCATAAACATGATATACAGGCGTGATGCAGAATATATTGACTGGATATATATATATATATATATATATATATATATATATATATATATCTCCAGTGCACTCTTGCCCGAAGACTCTGGCACATTAAAAATGTCTAATAAATATTTGTTGAATGACTTAATATACTAGGAACAGGGATGGGGAAGAGTCTAAGAGCCAAGGCCAATCCTGCAGGGACTTCTAAGCCTGGGACAAGCTTTCAGAACTGTCATGTGTTGGAAAAAAAAGATTTATGCCTCTGCTTAATACACTGTGAGATGAGAGTAGCCATAGGGCCAATTGGCAGGGAAACCTTAAACAAAAGAATTCTGTGGATAAGGAGTCATAGGCTACTTATCCAGGGCGTTTTTCAATAGCTGCTGATTTCTAGACCTTCGGCCCCTAAAGAAGAATCTGGGTATCCATCACAGCATCTACCACATGGTGATTGCTCAGTAAATGTTAGTCTCTACCCCATGAATAGTTGTCCCATCAATGAAAGAACAAGTGACAGACTTCTGCTTATCTTGGTACCTGGCATGTTTAGTCATTCTAAGTTGTGCTACCTCATAGATCCATCCGGTTAGATTTTTTTTTATCAACTCGGCACAAGCCAGAGCTGTCTAAGAAGAGAAAATGCCTCAATTAGATTAGCCCAGCAGGCAATTTTGTGGGAAATTTTCTTGATTAATCTTAGGCACACCCTAGATACTGAAATCTTTTATTACAGGAGATGTATTTTGAGGTGCTGCAGTGGCTTGTTCTACCACTGGGCCATACCTCAGCTCTTCATTCATTCATTCATTCATTCATTCATCCATTCATTCATTCATTCGTTTGTTCATTCATATAGATAGGATTTTTCTATGTAACCTAGAAATTCTTGAATTTCACAAATGCCCATGAGACACAGTTTTGCTTTCTTTATTTTTATTTATTTATTTATTTATTTTTGCAGTGCTGGGGATTGAACTGAGGATTGTTAGGTAAGTGCTGTGCCATAGAGTTATGCTCCTGAACCATCACTTATGACATCTAGTCTTTTTCTAACTCTAAAAATACAATTCTATAATCTAAAAATTGAGAGGCCCCACCCCGCTGGCTACTCATCATGAGTTTTGTATATATTGTCTTACACGAACACTGGATGCGACAGTTGCACCTTCCTAACACCCACAGATTAAGCGAAATAACAGTAACGCACACACAAGACAACCTGGCATGAGGAAAGTGTTGGAATGCCCACTATTATTATTCCTACTGTGCCTGACTACTCAGGACTCGCTACCTCACTAAGGCCATACTCTCCCTCAAGATTTCTAAACAATATAAATTCCCTGACTCATCTGATCCATCATCAGTATCTTTCCTTTCTTCATGACTCCCCATAGTGATGACAATAACCTGAGTTTCCACTTGAAATCATGTGATCAGTGTGTGTGTGTGTGTGTGTGTGTGTGTGTGTGTGTGTGTGTGTTCCACAGTATTCAGAAAAGCAGTTTGTTTGCACATCACTGTGCTTTGTGTCCATGCTATGGATAGAATTTGAGAGCATCCCTCAAGGGTTTGTAAGATTCCCTAGTGTGGCAATCTTAAAAATCAGAGGAATCTTTAAACTGTAGAGCTTAGTGGGAGGTAATTAAATCCTTCGGGACGATGGACTTGGGGGAGATGCAGCTCCTGTGGGACCCTTGGGGGGGGGGGGGGAGAAGGAGTACTGAAGGAGAGCAAGCCTGATCCCCAAGTCTCTAGCTACCTGTCTTGCTCAGTGACCACTCTCATGCAGGCTCCTGCCGTTGTGATGCTGTTGGCCTGGACACCCCACCAGAGGAGAGCTCAGGGCAATGTTATCCTCTGGCACCTCCATTTTGTGATCCACACAAATTATCTTCTTTACAAATTACCCAACAGGAAAGTTGACAGTAGTGGCTCAAGGCATGTAATTCTAGCAGTTGAAAGGCTGAGACAGAAGGATCATAAATTCTAGCCAATCTGGACTGTATAAGACCCTGTCTAAAACATAAAATCAAGTGAGCATGGCAATGCATGCCCAGAAGCTGAGGCAGGAAAATCATCACAAGTTTGAAGCCAGACTGTGCTACATGGTGAATTTCAAGCCTGCCTGGGGCACATAGTGAGAGGTGCTACATCAAACAACTAAAAATTAAATACAGAGCAAAATCAATTATCCAGTCTTTCTGATATGAATGGGAAACAGGCTAGTGCAAGCATCCTCCAAAACGTTTTCCACAAGCCAACTACTCAGCATCTTTCATTATAGCCTGTGTTTGTCCATCTTGAATCTAGTTGTCAAACAAATCAACTTCAAAATCTTCAGCTTCATGCAGTGCTCACATGCCAGTAAAGGTTTATGGTGAAACCAGTCTCAGGTACATTAGAAATATGTTCCAGATTGGAACTAAGAAACTGCCCAGCAATATCGCTAGCATTCTCCCAAATCTTAGCACCCAGGAGATAGTTCACAAGTTTGTAGACAATTTCCAAGTGGCCCAAAACGGCCCCCAGAAACTGTTCTCAAAGATGTCTCTGCCCTGTTTGAAGAAAGTCATAAATCATTCGTACCTTTGATTTTCAACTTTACACCTTAACATCACCTAGAAGACATTAAAAATTCAGGTGCCTCAGGTCACATGTTCATGGTTCCTGACCCGATTTCCACATTTTTAAAGACCTACTGGTGATTCAAACTGCAGGAACATTTGAGAAATATTGACCACAGCATGGCAAAATGAACACTGCTGTCAAAATACAATAAAATACTAATTTTATCCTTTAATACCAATAGTATGCCTTGACCCAAAAAGATTTATAAAAATACCTTAAAACTTTCAACAATTTTAGAGTGTACTACAGTCCCACTCAAGTACAGGGAGCTAGACATTTACGTAACTTCCTATACTCACACATTTAGAATATGTCTTAATGTATTCGTTGATGATCTTATATATAAGGTATGTTGATAATGTTTACATCTGCGGCAGTTTGAATAAAAATGGCCCCCACAGCCTTATAGGGAGTATCACCATTAGAAGGTGTTACCTTGTTGGAATAGGTTTGACCTTCTTGGAGGAAGTATGTCACTGTCTCTTCCTGCTGCCTGCCGATCCGGATGTAGAGCTGCCTTTCCAGCACCATGTCTGCCTGCATGTCACCATGCTTCCCGCCATGACAATAATGAACTAAACCTCTGAACTGTAAGCCAGCCTCAATTAAATGTTTTCCTTTATAAGAGTTGCCATGGTCACGATGTCTCTTATCAGCAATAGAACCTTGAGACAGAGATTGGTACCAGGGACTGGGGTGTTGCTATGATATGCCTGACCACGCCTTTGTGTTTGAGGAATGTGGTCTTTGGGACTTTGGATGAGAAAAGCAGTTGAGCTCTTGAAGTGGGACTTAACAGATCACACTAGTAGGAACATGAGAGACAGTGGTGCTGAGGGTGATTTGAACTGGGGGCCTGGCTCATGAGGTTTCAGAGGAGAAGAATATTTTTATGTGGCCTAGAGACTGTCCTGTGATATTTTGGCAAAGAACATAGCTGCTTTTGCACAAAAACTCTGCCTGAGGCTAATGTGAAGAGTTTTAGATTAATTCTATTGACAGAGAATATCTCAAAACAGCCTAGTATTGACTTTCATGTAGTTATTGGTGTTCACTCTTATGCAGATCTATAATGAAAAGAAGCAAGCTGACCAAAGAAAAAAATATACAGATCAAGGAGAAAAAGGCAACAGGAAGAAGAATGGAGCTAAGTCCTGTGTTCAAGCAGATAAACAGATCAAAGAAAATCCCGATGTTAAGTGCAATAAGGAGAGTGATGATCTCAGAGCAATAGCCTACCCAGTTAAGCTTCCAATTTGTGAAAAGGAATTAAAGAAAAGCTTAAGGCTAGGTGTAGTGGCACACACCTTTAATCCCAGCACTCAGAAGGCAGAGGCTGGTGGGTCTCTAAGTTTGAGGCTAGCCTGGTTTACAGAGCAAGTTTCAGGACAGTCAAGGTTAGACAGTGAAGGAAACCATCGAAAACAGAAAGCTGGTGAATTGAAGAAGGGGACCATGTTCCAGCTCCAGAAAGCAGCAGAACTTGGCTGTTCCAGCTAAATGCTTTTTGACTTTACAGACAAAGATAGAAGAAAGGGATTATATAATTTCCTTCTGCGACTAAGGAAAGCCTCTGAAGCCAGGCCTATGGCAGGAGTGTCCCTGCATGGAGGCCTAGAGAGGCCATTGTGTGAAGCAGTGAAGATGAAGCCTGGATTGCCTTGGAGACCCCAAGATGTTGGAGATGCCAGAGTTGTGGTATACCTGCTAAAAAGAGCTGCTAAGAGGGAGTGGAACCAGCCCAAGAAAGAGAAGTGTGTTGCAGTCAACAAAGATGAAAGGAGTTGGAGATCTGAAGAGCATTTTGACATCTGACATGGAAATACAGAGTTTAGAGTTTGCTAGCTGGTTTTCTGTCTTGCATTGGTCCAGTATTTCCTTAGGATGCTCCTTCTCCATTCTTTTGGAATGGTAATGTATATCCTTTGCCATTGTATGTTGGAAGTATGAGATCTGTTTTTTTATTTGATTTTACAGGGAGTTACAGTTAAGAGATTGCATGAATCTCAGGAGAGACTTTAGAGTTTTAAAGAAGTTTGAGACTATTATAGACTATGAGGACTTCTGAAGTTGAGTTAAATGCAATTTGCATTATGTTATAGCTACAAGGCTATGACCCCTATGGGGGTCAGGGAGTAGAATATGGTTGTTTGAATAAAAAATAGTCCCCATATCTACCCCCTCACCCCCGAAGCAGGTGGGAGGGCTGGCCTTGAGGTCATGAGAGTAGGAGAGCTGTCCCTGCCCCTCACTGGCGGCAGTACTCAGAAGAGTGGGCCCTGAACCTCACATAGGCAGCACAGTAGAGCTGGGGCTGATAATAAAGGCATGGGTGAAACCTCAAGGGCATGAGAGCAAGAGAGCTGCCCCTGTCCCTTGTCAGATGTGGTATTGGATGAGCTAGCCAGGGCAGTGCCAGAAAGCTTGTTTTGGTGGTGTGGGCACAGGAGAGCTGGTAGGTTCACCAACTCAGTTAAGTCTCAGGCCCTCATCCAAGGCTTTGAGTTTGTCCACACCATCTATGATCTACTGAAGTGTGTGAAAAGCCCAGTCCAGCAGATCCAAAGCTTCAGGATCTCTATGGCACAGGACAACAATGGAATATTCCAGAGGAGTCCCTTTGAGGATCCGGTATTGAAAGTGTAGCAGAAACCAGAGGCCTTGAAACAGACCAATGACTCATTGCAATGAAATTTGCAAGTAAAGATGTGTGGACAACTATGTGAGATATTACAGTTTCCATGACAAGATGGCTTGTTTGTTTGTTTGTTTGTTTGTTTGTTTGTTTTTAAATTCAATCTTACTTTATTTTATTTAGGGAAGTTGATTGCAGGGGCAGAGCACTAATATGAAGGGATAGGGAAATGAATAAGATTGGGGTACATGATGTAAAATTCACAAAGACTCAATAAAAAGTTTTTAAAATTATATTCTTCATTCCATTTTTGTTTTTTACATTTTTCTAGTTCAGAAATATATACCCAGAAAAAAATGTGTAGTCTATATAATTAATAACTAGAAATTAAAATCCAAGATCCATACTAGAGTGGAGATACTTGTGGTGCCAGAAGCTCCTGTGAGGGACTCCCTCATAAGCTTACCCTTCCCAGAATTCCATCATCCTGAATTGTCACTTTAGTGCCAGTGTTTCTACTTGTAAACAATTTAATTTAGCTTCACGTGATTACTTAAATCTGTGTCCTTGTGTTTAAAATCCCCAAACTACAAAAAAGTATCTATGAACTTTTCCATACTCTTCAGCTAGATTCTCAATTTTAGTGTTTTACTATGTTTTCTTTGTATCTTAATCTCCTTGGATGTATATATGACATGTATGTACATACATGTGTGTGTATTTATTTGCTGAACTATTGAAATAAATGTGAAATCCTGAAATAAACTGGCCTTCATAGGCCCATAGAGAGTGGCACTATTTGGAAATGTGGCCTTGTTGGAAAAAGAGAGTCATTCTCTCTATCTGCCACCCACTGATCCAGATGTAGAACTCTTAGCTACCTCTCCAGTAACATGTCTTGCATGTGTGCTGCCATGCTTCCTGCTATGACAATAATGGACTAAACCCATTTTCCTTTATACCAGTTGCCATGGTCATGGTGTCTCTTCATAGCAATAAAACCCTAACTGAGACAATCTCCATTCTTCTCCTCCCTCGCCCCACTGCCTACTACTATAGCCCTTATTTCCAATGAGTCATGTTCCTTCTTCTTTTGGGGGACAGGTCCACTGACTTTCATTAGGGTTTCTTGCATGATGTGGGTAGGGGTTACTTACTGGATAATGGGGACCTTACCAGCGGCTACACCACTGAAGAAAACGACTGCCCCTGCCAACCATTAACTGCTAACAGCTCAGCAGGAAAGGGTGAAGCCTGAGGAGGAACGCAGATAGGCCCAATTAACTGCAGGCCTTGTGCAGGTGCCCACAGTTGCTGTGAGGTCATGAGTGGAACGGCAACCAGACATACTTTTAAACAGCTCAGTAATAAGTAAAAGAAATAGTACAGGATCCATGAGAACTGCATTTATCCTTCCCAAACACGATGGTCTAATTACCCTGCACTTAGCCCTGCCTCTTACAGTCTTCGTTATCTTTTAATATCACTAGATGGGGAGCCAGCTCCTAACTCATGAACCCTGGAGAAACTACACATTAACTGGGAATAGAGGGGAGAAAGGATGATTTTAAAGGTATAAACATTAAATAGTTCTTGAGTCAGGCACAGTGGCCACACCTGTAATCCCAGCGCGTAGAAGGCTCAGGCAAGTGGAACACATGAATTCGAGGATAGCCTGAGCTACACAGCAAGTTCCTACCATAAACAAGTAAAGCCAGTTTTTACTGTAGGATTTCTCATAGGCCTTAATATAGTAATGTAGTGTACTAATTAGGACATTTTATGATAAGGACATTTTGAAGTTTTGTATCTGGCAAGAGGAAGCAGATGGCGGGTCAAGGAAGTACAGAATGGGCAGTAGCACTCACAAGAGGGTGACGCCACATTAGCAACAGAGGCTCTGTTTTCTCCGAAGCTGCTTTCAGAAGGCAGCAGGTTTTACTGTGTGGATTGACTGGCATGCTCTGCCTTTAACAGGATGTGGTAGTCAGCCTTCATTGTAAGCTTGACTGGATTTAGAACCACTGTGAAAACACACTTTTAGATTTCCAAAAAGGCTTAACTGAGGAGAAAGAACTCACCTGTGGCACCTTCCCAAAGGCTGGGGTCCAGGGCTGGATGAAAAGGAGAGAGTGGATCCCCAGCATTCACCTTTTTCTGCTTCCTGACTGTGGGTACTCTGTGACCAGCTTCCCTCCCTTCTGTGGCCGTGCCTTTCCTGCCATGAACAACCCTCAACTAGGACCCAAATAAAACCTTCCTTTCTTAAGCTGCTTTTGTCCAATACTTTGTCACAGTGATGAACAAGGTCATTAATACACAAGGTGAGTCATGTCCTTGTCTATTGCCCTCTGTGAACCATAAGGAGTTCCACATGTGTCTTAGTTAGGGTTTCATTGCTGTGAAGAGACACCATGACCATGGCAACTGTGATAAAAGAAACCATTTAATTGGCTGGCGCTGGCTTACAGTTCCAAAGGTCTAGCTCATCATAGTCGCAGCGGGAAGCGTGGTGACACGCAGGCAGACATGGTGCTGGGGAGGTAGCTAAGAGTTCCGCACCCAGATCCGCAGACAGCAGGGAGAGAAGGTGAGCCGCTGGCCAGGCTTCGGCATCTGAAACCTCAAAGCCCACCCCAGTGACACTTCTTCCAAAAAGAGCACACCCACACCAACAAGGCCACACTTCCTAACAGTGTCACTCCCTATAGACCTTGGGGGCCATTTTTATTCAGACCACATGTGAAGGCTGAAAGCTGGTGGCTCTAGCCACGTGGTCCCCCTGAGAACAGAGCAAGGGTCACAGTGAAGTGTTGGGAAGAGAGAGGAAAGCTAAGAAGAATATAGGGCATAGTCCTGCACACAATTAACAATTCCTAAGCTTACTCTACTAACGTCCACCTAACTCAGACACCATGAGCCTCAGCCAGATTCCCTATCCATCT